TCTCTCACTCTCTCTCTCTTTCTCTCTATCACTCTCTCTCTCTCTCATACACATCATTCTCTTGGTTCTATTCGCATATCTTTTTCGCACGCACGCACTCACACACCCATGAACTCTACCCCATATACTGTATAGCACCTTTATTTCGGTGTAATTTAAATTTCGATAACTTCGGTACTGGTTCTGGATCACCTAATTAAACATTACCGTAAAATCCCGCCAGAGCGCCCCGTCTCTCCTATCCGCCCCTCCCTGACTTCTTGTCAGGGATGTATCCTCGTATGACTCTGTCACAGTCTGTGATGCGTACTGTACTGCAGACGCGTGCTCGACCCCGTTGGAAATGTACGCAACAGTGCCCACCCTAGGTACCCTCTTGACCAGGGATCGCACAAACCCTGAGTTTTGACGGGTCTGTACGACTCCTGGCTCTTGACCTTTGGTCGGTGTACGAGATGCACGCACAGTTTTCTTTTCTTTTTTCACTCCAAAAGAGTTGGCACCTATGAATTCAGGGGATGGCCCACGCCTGGTAAAAAGAAAAGGAAAGAAAAAAGAATGTTTGGCACCTATGAATCTAGGGGATGGCCCACGCCTGGTAAAAGGAAAAAGAAAAAGTTTTCGTAGGGTGAGTACTTTTTCATGTTGCACTGAATGCGGTAAGTAGGACTCGCCCATCCGCCCCTCCCCACCTGAAGCGACGAGGAGGTAGGGGCGCTCTGGCGTAATTTTACGGTACACCTAAATTTTCCGAAATACCAAAAATATGTAAAAAACAAAACTTAAAATCATGAAAATCACTGTCAAAAAATCAACTTGTATACTGGCACTGTGAAAGCAGAAATTTTCGGTGGTGTAATATTTTCGGTATTCTCCAAAATCGGCGGTTCGGCGGAGGGAAATTTTCGGTAAACCCGCGTTCCAGGTAAGTGTACTAGTACTATACCGACATTTTCGGTGTGTTTTATTTTCGGTAAATATTTCGGCACCGAAGTTACCGAAAATTAAACACCATCGAAAATTTCTGGTTTTACAGTATAGCGCATGTATGTACAAGTATATGTATGTGGTCAAGAGTACATAACCCCAAGAGTACATAACCCTGGGGGTTATGTACTCTTGATGTGGTCCATAATGTGGAGCCTAGCCTAGCCGGAGATATGTAAGTGCCAAGAAGAGCGTTTTTTTTTGTTTTTTTTTGGTGCCACATACCGAATTTATCCTTACGCTGAAAGGTCAGGGGTTGGCTTTCACCGAAATTTTACAACACCGAAAATAAGGTGATATAAAGTATGCACGTACACACACACACACACACACATACACACACACACACACACACACACACACACACACACACTCATACACACACACACACACACACACACACACTCACACACACACACACACACACACACACACATACACACACACACACACACACACACACACACACACACACACACACTCATACACACACACACACACACACACACACACACACACACACACACACACACTCATACACACATTTCTGCATGCACCCTTTCCCATTCCCGCTTCTCGAATATGCTACAACTTCTTGCTCCCGCGCTCTCCCCTCACTTTCCCCACATTCCTGTATAATTCGTTTGGCCTGGGTAGCTGCATAAGCGCTTTCCTACATTATTATTATTAGTGTTATTAGACACAATCTCATAGCATGTGACAAGCATAGCTAATGCAGGGACAGAATCCCCTGAGACAAGGGCGTTGAGCCAGCCACGGCAATAGTAAGCTAGGAAAACAAAGCAAAAATGAATAAGCAAAAAATGAATGGAAAATTACAAAGAAAAACGATTAACGGAAGTGAGCACCATCAAAATTCGTGCATCACCCAGGTATTCGAGAATTCATTGCCATAGCTACCCAGGCCATTCATAACCTCCTGTCTCATCCTTCATCCTTTATCATCTCGAGTCCCTCGTGCGAACCAAGAACTTTGACTTCCATTATGCATGCGTGCGTGCCGTGAGACTTCAACATAAGCATTTAAATTGATACTTTTTTAATAAGGAAGTTGATTGTTCCAACTAGGAACACACGCTTCTTGCCGAACTTTACACTTGACTGACTCACGACTGCCATCCGGAGCACACGAGGAGCACGTCGCACCTTCCACTCGGCAAACCTGCATGAAAGCACCACTCCCTGCTCAATACACGATGTTTCGGGAATCCACCCCTCATCAGTTGAGCTTGAGTAGGCTAAGGAAGATTGTGCCTGAAAAGCACCACTTATATACTGCTCTCCAGGCCAAACCATCACCAGGGATACAAACTTACAGAGACGTGTGTTGAGCACACCGTGTATTGAGCAGGGAGTGGTGCTTTCTTGCAGGTTTGCCGAGTGGAAGGTGCGACGTGCTCCTCGTATGCTCCGGATGGCAGTCGCGAGTCAGTCAAGTGTCAAGTTCAGCAAGAAGCGTGTGTTCCTAGTTGGAACAATCAACTTCCTGACTACTCCCGCCGAAGTCGCAACTTCTAAGTACTTTTTTAATAATTGATACTTTTTTAGTTTACTGAATTTAAACATGAGCTTGTTTGAAGAGATGTGCAATGCGTTTAACATGTAGAGGAGAGTTTACTGAATTTAAACATGAGCTTGTTTGAAGAGATGTGCAATGCGTTTAACATGTAGAGGAGAGTTTAGTGCCATGAAAACAAATACCTTGTCATCACAAGTATGCACTTACTGACACACAGCATTGCTGGTAGTACACCGTCACACTTGATGGTAAAGTCTTGAGCAACTTCACCAAAGAAGTGTTCACCCCTCTTAATTCCACTCCTTGTTCCGTAATTGCAGGACCGTTTTCCAGCATACATTGCAAGCTTACGAGTTGTCTAAAACATAAGACGAGAAATTCCAACAGTCAGCAATCGGCGATCAAGAGTCATCTGTGTGTTAGTGATAGTTGTCGTGAGTTGTACAGAGATGATGTTTTCTCAGTTTTTGGCCCGTGGCAGATCTGTATTACATGTGTCTGTTTTGGAACTGCGTTATATATTCACAAGTTGTCCCCTGAACTATGTGTCCAGAAGGAAAATGTTTTGTCGCTTCAGTTGTTTGGCGCTAATCCTCGTCAAAGTGTCAGTAATGCTTCTCCTCATTGATGTTTTCATTATAATTATTTTAATCATTTCTTCACCTTCACCCTGTTGTTGACTTGTTCAGCTGAATTTTATTTTTCCACACGTACAGCGTGAGTTGTCAATCTATGCTTTTGCTCTAGAAGTTACTGTATTTGACAGTTGTTCCATTATTCCCTGTGTTTACCCATGATGAGAAGGGAATGAAAACGCTCGGTTTTTAATTGGCTTACCTGACTGTGTGTATTGCGTCGGTGCTGACACCTTTAATTCAAAATAATAATTAATAATACGAACATAGAAGTTGCGACTTCGGCGGTAATAGTAATGAAGTTTGTTGCTCCAACGAGGAGCACACGCTTCTTGCCGAACTTGACACTTGACTGACTCACGACTGCAATCCGGAGCACACGAGGAGCACGTCGAACCTTCCGCTCGGCAAACCTGAAAGAAAGCACCACTCCCTGCTCAATACACAGTGTTTCGGGGAATTCACCCCTCATCAGTTGAGCTTGAGTAGGCCGAGGAAGATTGTGCCTGAAATGCACCACTTATATACTGCTCTCCAGGCCAAACCATCACCAGGGATACAAACTTACAGAGACGCTTTGTTTCCAGCGTGACAAACACCTCGTGAATCCCCAGGTAGCAGCGTGAGTCAGAGTCGCTCATGGAGTTGTGCTAAACAGACGTTGAGAGCCAGTATAGCTATTCACAACGCTGTCACCTCCAACAACTAGCTTGTGCTCCTCGTTGGAGCAACCAACTTCATGACTATTACCGCCGAAGTCGCAACTTCTAAGTTCGTATTGTTGTCCCTCACGCGGACGTGCGACTAGTTGTTGGAGGTGACAGCATACACTGAGCTATGGTGTAGTCGTCATCCCAGCAGAGGCCGTTCAACATTTTCTTCAGACTTCGTAACTCACCGTCCAGGAGCGACACTGACTCACGCTGCTATCTGGTGTTCACGAGGTGTTTGTCGCGCTGGAAACGGAGCGTCTCTGTAAGTTTGTATCCCTGGTGATGTTTGTGCCTGGAGAGCACTATATAAGTGGTGCTCTTCAGGCACAATCTTCCTCAGCCTACTCAAGCTCAACTGATGAGGGGTGAATTCCCCGAAACACTGTGTATTGAGCAGGGAGTGGTGCTTTCTTGCAGGTTTGCCGAGCGGAAGGTTCAATGGACTTCTCGTGTGCTCTGGATGGCAGTCGTGAGTCAGTCAAGTGTCAAGTAAAGTCGGCGGAATAGCGCGAGCTCCGGTGTGGGAAGCAAACCATTTCTTACAAATAATAATAATAATAATAATAATAATTTGGAAAGGATTGGGAGAACCTAGCAGGCGCTGACAAGTTTTTCACTCATGACAAGCAGGGTCCCAGATTCGTGTCCTGGTGGGTCTGGCGTTTTTTTCTCTTTTCAGGCAGTTCACTTCCCCGATTGATCCTTTGAATTTGAAGTTCTCCCAATCCTTTCCAAATTTAATCACTTTCTTTCACCTCTGGTAGTCTCCAGAAACTGACCGAGGTTGGTCCCCTGGGGGAGGGAAAAAGACGCAAGTGCCATCAGTATGTGTGGCACGTGTTGTGAGCTGCCTTTGGAGTGAAAAACTTGTCAGCGCCTTCTAGGTTCAGCCTGGTCCCATAGCTCAGTGGTTAGAGCATTGCTCATGACAAGCAGGGTCCCAGGTTCGAGTCCTGGTGGGTCTGGCGTTTTTTTCTCTTTTCAGGCAGTTCACTTCCCCGACTGATCCTTTGAATAATAATAATAATAATAATAATAATAATAATAATAATAATACTCCCTAGACTTCTGGAGTGTGACCGTGGGTTGCGAGATGACACCACCTCGCTTGGCCAGATCAGTGACATGGTCTATGCTGGGGCCAAGCTTGTACTCTCACTGCTGGATATCAATACAGATGGTACCCCTGACACAGCTAGAGGAGAACGCTCCTTGCCTGCCTGGCGACAACGCCTTGAAAAACGTGTTTGTGCACTGAGGGCTGACGTCTCCCGGCTGACCAGCTTCCTGCGTGATGGATCCCTCTCTGACACCAACATCAAGCAGCACAGGATCCACCGGCAATATAAAGTCCAGACTTTGGACCAGGCCCGCCAGCTACTGGAGCATACGAAAATGCAGCTAGAAGCAACAGCCGCACGGATCCGGCGCTATAAGCTAGAGGCAACACGCAGGTCGGAGAATCGTGTTTTCGTCACGAGTGAGCGTCAGTTCTACCGCAATATGACCAAGTCTACGGAAATGCCTGGGCAGCCACCTGTCGACCAGGCTGCTGCGCATCCATCGGCTGAGGCTGTTACTGAGTTCTGGTCATCTATACTGGAAGAACCCGTGGAGCTGCGTGGCGGTGCTTGGCTTGATAATTTCGAGAGGGACTGTGAGGAGATTCAACAACAAGACCGTGTCATTCTTCGACTGGAGGACCTCAGGGACATCTTGAAGAAATCAAACAACTGGAAAGCCCCAGGACGGGACAAGATCCATGCATTTTGGTGGAAGAAGTTTCCGTCTATCCACGAGCGTATTGTGGTCTCCTTTCAATCAATCCTGGATGCAGAGACAGAGTCGCCGGCCTGGTTCTCGTTTGGTATCACCACTCTACTGCCTAAGAAAGGAGACCTTTCTAGGCCCGAGAATTATCGCCCAATAACATGCCTGCCAACGATTAGCAAGATATTCACATCCTTACTCGCTGCTGCCATGTGGCGCCATTTATCCTCAGAGGATATCTTTGCAGATGAGCAAGTTGGCTGTACTCCAGGGCGTGGTGGATGCCTTGACCAACTAATGATCGACAAGATGGTTCTAGAGGATGCAGCATCCCGTAGTCGGAATCTTTCGACATGCTGGGTGGACTTCCGCAAAGCCTTCGATAGCCTGTCTCACCAGTGGATCCGGAGATGCCTGTTGATCTACCGCTTTGCAGACAATCTTGTCTCATGCATCTCAAGCATGATGGATCATTGGAGAACGCAAATGGTACTGCCTGGTCAAACACCCCGTGCATTCAGTCGCCCAATATCTATCCACCGTGGCATTTTCCAGGGCGATTCCCTTTCTCCACTGCTATTTTGCCTGTCTCTAAATCCGATCAGTGGCGAGTTGACCAGGACGGGTCTTGGCTACCGCTGTGGCCCACCGGCCCAGGTGTGCCCTGTATCGCACCTGTGGTACATGGACGACATAAAGCTCTTCGCCCGAAACGACAATAATCTGCTCTCCATGACCAATGTTGTGGAGTCAATGGGCGACTGCATTGGTATGCGATTCAACCCATCAAAGTCTAGCTGGCTCACCATGAAACGGGGAAGAGCCCAGAGCGATCAGCAGTCTGCTCTCCAGACACTCCAGGGTCACGCCATTGCTAAGCTGCAGGCGGAGGAGTCCTACAGGTACCTTGGTGTCCCGGAATCAGCACATTTTCACGCCACCGAATTGAAGACCACAGCAAAGGCTGAGTTCGGCCGCCGCCTTCAATTGATATGCTCGTCTCAATTGAACGCCAGGAACTTGGTCAAAGCCATCAACACCTTTGCCATTCCAGTCATCCTCTACTCTCTGTGCATCGTTGAGTGGACAAAGGCAGAGATAGAAGAACTCGACCGACAGACCCGCCAAGCACTGTTTAAAGCACACGCCCGCCACCCCAAGGACTCTGCCGCCAGGGTCCACCTGCCTCGTGACATGGGTGGTCGAGGAATTCTATCATTCCGGGATCTCCTGGATAGAACCCGTGTCCGGGTGGCGCGGTACTTACAAGCCCACCCAAACGTGCCACTGTTGGCTGCTGTTAAGCGCCATCACGACAATGATGTGGCACCGTCAAAATCAGTTACACGTCAAGCCTCCAGACTTCTGGGTGAACTTGACCTACCCGACTTGGAGACTGCCACAAAAGTCATTGTCAAGAAGGCCGTTGCTCTCCGGTGCCTGGCCGTTATCCAAGGTAAGCCTCTCCATGGCCAGTTCTGGAGACGAGCTTCTGATGCTGGCTTGGACCTGGGCTTGAGTTTTCGCTGGCTGAAATCGCCAACGATCAGGCCTGCGACAGAGGGACTCTTGCTGGCTGTACAGGATCAGGCCATTGCGACCAGGCACTATCAGGTCACGGTGATTGGACGGGGAGACGTTGTGGACATTTGTCGAGTTTGCGGCACTCGCGGAGAAACAGTTGATCACATTGTGGCCTGTTGCCCAGCCCTAGCCAAAACACTGTATATCGAACGGCATGACACGCTCGTCAAGTTGGTGCATTGGGCACTATGCAAGCGGCATGGTCTAGGTCAGCCGGGAAGCAACCCGCTGAAGCATCATCTTGTGCCTGTCACGGAAAATCCTGATATGAAGCTCCTGTGGGAGTTCAATATCCCAACGGATACGCAAGTGCGCCACAACCGTCCAGACCTGGTGTTGCGGTCCAGCACACAGGTGCTGCTGATGGATGTCAGTGTTCCACTGGACCAGAATGTGCCCACAAAAATCGCCGAAAAAATAACAAAGTACGCTCCCCTTTGCCAAGAGCTGCGGCGCATCTGGCATGTGGATGATGTCCGCGTTGTGCCCCAGGTTGTTGGGGCGCTTGGTGGACTGACTGGTGTGTCCCTCTCACACTTTGTGTTGGCATTGGCAGGCACTCTGCGCATTGAAAGGGCTCAGCAATGTGCTATCCTGGGCACGCTGAACATCATCAAGTCGGTTCTTGGCATTCGGCATTAGGCTCCTCATGTTACGGGTAGAGCTAGTCTGTATAAACCTCCAATACCGCATTTGCTTTGACATCCATGAATGTGCAGTATGACGGTTCTCACAGCCTGATTTTTCTCTTGCCATTTGAGTATGTCCGGCATTCATCTCTTCCTCTATTTCTACAGGTCTATTCCTGTACTGGTAGTCCATTTTTGTAATTACTCTTTTTGTATTCGAATATGTCCTGTCCTCCTCCATCTTTTTGTATTCGAATATGTCCTGGCATCCTCCATCGTACTGCTTATTTCTGTCCGTCTCTCAGTTTCTGCGTCGGCTTTCAATATTTTTGCTTTGGTTTTAACAATCCTTTTTGCTTCGGTCTTCATTGCGTTGGCCATTTATCTATTTTTTTTTCTCTCATTACCCTTGGTCTCTTTTGGCCCGGTGATGGGGTTCTTACCTCATGTCATGACAACGTGAGTGAAATAAAGCCAACTCCATAATAATAACAACGGGTGGCCCACCCAAACGTGCCACTGTTGGCTGCTGCTAAGCGCCATCACAACAATGATGTGGCACCGTCAAAATCAGTTACACGTCAAGCCTCCAGACTTCTGGGTGAACTTGACCTACCCGACTTGGAAACTGCCACAAAAGTCATTGTCAAGAAAGCCGTTGCTCTCCGGTGCCTGGCCGTTATCCAAGGTAAGCCTCTCCATGGCCAGTTCTGGAGACGAGCTTCTGATGCTGGCTTGGACCTGGGCTTGAGTTTTTGCTGGCTGAAATCGCCAACGATCAGGCCTGCGACAGAGGGACTCTTGCTGGCTGTACAGGATCAGGCCATTGCGACCAAGCTCTATCAGGTCACGGTCATTGGACGGGGAGACGTTGTGGACATTTGTCGAGTCTGCGGCACTCGCGGAGAAACAGTTGATCACATTGTGGCCTGTTGCCCAGCCCTAGCCAAAACACTGTACATCGAACGGCATGACACGCTAGTCAAGTTGGTGCATTGGGCACTATGCAAGCGGCATGGTCTGGGTCGGCCGGGAAGCAACCCGCTGAAGCATCATCTTGTGCCTGTCACGGAAAATTTTGACATGAAGCTCCTGTGGGAGTTCAATATCCCAACGGATACGCAAGTGCGCCACAACCGTCCAGACCTGGTGTTGCGGTCCAGCACACAGGTGCTGCTGATGGATGTCAGTGTTCCATTGGACCAGAATGTGCCCAAAAAAAACCCCGAAAAATAACAAAGTACGCTCCCCTTTGCCAAGAGCTGCGGCGCATCTGGCATGTGGATGATGTCCGCGTTGTGCCCCAGGTTGTTGGGGCGCTTGGTGGACTGACTGGTGTGTCCCTCTCACACTTTGTGTTGGCATTGGCAGGCACTCTGCGCATTGAAAGGGCTCAGCAATGTGCTATCCTGGGCACGCTGAACATCGTCAAGTCGGTTCTTGGCATTCGGCATTAGGCTCCTCATGTTACGGGTAGAGCTAGTCCGTATAAACCTCCAATACTGCATTTGCTTTGACATCCATGAATGTGCAGTATGACGGTCCTCACAGCCTGATATTTCTCTTGCCATTTGAGTATGTCCGGCATTCATTTCTTCCTCTATTTCTACAGGTCTATTCCTGTATAGGGTCCAGCGGATAATGCTCCGAAAATGTTCGTATAAAAAAAATATAAAAAATTCACGGTTCGCGTGAGACTCAGCCAAAGGCCCAGTTTTCCGCATCCGCAGGAACGCCACCACCCTCTTGGATCAAGGCGCAGATGCAGCTCCTAAGCGGTGGGAGGTGATAATGCTATAATGCTAACCATAATGCTCCAAAAACTGCCTTATAATGCTGATCATAATGCTTCAGCAAGGGATATAATGCTCTTGGTTTGGGACAAAAATGGAAGAAAGTCTGCACATTGTCAAACTTCCAGGAAATTATGCATATCGTTGATCTGCATCTGAAGTTGCCACCTTATCTCTTACGAGCTCCACCACTTCTTAGCACTATAAGACATGATCGCTTCTCCATTGATTGCTCTCCATTCCAACTTTGATGCAGGGTTGTGGCAGAATAGTCGGTGTATCAAATCCCTCCCCTAATTATTCATGTAGCGAGAGATGAAACCATTATTGCAGGTAGTCATTCATTGTTGGGATGAAGTTAATCTTGGCAAATAGTATTCCTGCCTGCAGACAAGCTGTTACTGCGTCCACTCTGTGGATGATGTCTTCATCTGAAACACCAGACGTGAGGCCAGCTCCTGAGATCCGATCTCAGATGGAGAGCCCTCCAATTTGCGGAAATCCTGAAAACACGTGGTCAGAAGTTATTTTGCCACTTTACATCCTTTGCTTGTGCTCTCATCTTCTCCTTGAGATGATGTGTAGACGTATGGCTTGCCACAATACTCTTCCTTTCTGATAGCATTTGACTGTAGGCCTGGCATTACAACCATCCACAACTAACTGTATGTGCTTCATGAGGAAAGTAAGACAGGCGCTGCTGAGCAATCGACTTGGTACTGAGTCCATGAGAAGATCTAGTTCTTTTCGAGCCTCCTGATCTGGACTCAGCAAAGACAGTTCTTTTGGAACGAGCTCTTTCTGTTTATAGCCGCTCCTTCATCCTGGTCCAAATATAGCAATACAGTGTCTACTTCAGTATCGCTAGAGATGCTATCGCCAGAGCCTCTGGCACAACTAGAAAACTCTTCTTCGTCTGTTTGATACTCACTTCGCGTATGTCTCCTCCATAGCTCTCCATTATTCTAAAAGTAAAAGAAACGTCGTAAATAATTTCTCCGGATTTGTGCCACTTGAACTGTCTCGGCCTCGGTTGGGCATGCTTCACAAATGGCTTGTATACATTTACCTGACCACATCGCTACAATCATACCGTTCTTATGTAGCAATAGTTATGTAGCGTTAGTGCTAAAGGTGGTATGTGTCTACACACTATCCAATCACAAAGTCATGCGCCGGTACAATGCATAGTGCTCAAATGCCCGGAATGGGCGGAGCGCAGTATGCAAGAGGTACACACAAGGAGTAAAATAGGGCTGTTTCGTTGTTACTCAGAGTTTCATGGCAAAACCAATCATCAAACAACATCTCATGATCATGATTGTAGCCGATTGTTGCCAAAAACCTGGGATTTCCCGATATTATCCTCTATGAAACTCGTTATGCTGCTCAAACCTCACATAATGCTCGTTTTGTTCCTTTCTAATGCTCCATAATGCTCCGATGCTCGAATAGTCGTATAATGCCGAATATAATGCCGGCCTTATCCGCTGGACCCTATTCCTGTACTGGTAGTCCATTTTTGTGATTACTCTTTTTGTATTCGAATATGTCCTGTCCTCCTCCATCTTTTTTGTATTCGAATATGTCCTGGCCTCCTCCATCGTTCTGCTTATTCCTGTCCGTCTCTCAGTTTCTGCGTCGGCTTTCAATATTTTTGCTTTGGTTTTTACAATCCTTTTTGCTTCGGTCTTCATTGCGTTGGCCATTTATCTATTTTTTTCTCTCATTACCCTTGGTCTCTTTTGGCCCGGTGATGGGGTTCTTACCTCATGTCATGACAACGTGAGTGAAATAAAGCCAACTCCAAAAAAAAAATAATAATAATATAATAGCTATAAAGAGAACAAATTCTGCTGTCATCGCCACACTACAACAAAGTCTTGAAGGTTTACCAAAATCGATTTTCTTGTCACAATCATCAGTGGAAAGCCGTGACTGAAGAATAACCATGCCAAATCAATAATTTATATACATTCAATAATGTGTTACGAGAACACTGATGATTGTGACAAGAAAATCGATTTTGGTAAACCTTCATGACTTTGTTGTAGTGTGGCGATGACAGCAGAATTTGTTCTCTTTATAGCTATTATAAAATTGTTGTCTCCGCGTCGATTATTTACAAATAATAATAATAATAATATAAACAGGCGTCGAGGCGACAATAGTTTTAGAATTGCGATCAACAGAACGCGCTGAACCGACATTTCACAAAGGCTTTTATTGTATTCAAAAAACGAGTGGATACGAAGGCAGTGAAGAACATGGAAGAAAGAAAAAATGTGATATGGAAAAAATGATGAACAAAAAATTGTACTTCGAACTAGTTTTCGCACAACACTCCTCAGGAAGCTGCGTTGTACTAATGAAAAACAATCCAGAAAGATACTAATAAAGAGAAATGGAGTGAGAAGAAACAACACCTATGAAAATGATAATCCTAGCACTAAGGTAATAACAGGAAAAACTGCGAAAGCACTTAACGAACTTGTAAGGACTACTAGTATATTGCGAAACAAGATATGACACCATGGCGAACCAGAGCCAAGCAGACAGAACAAGCTGCTACTAAAACAATTTTAAACGAATAATGCTGTCCTTCTGGACACCCAGATTAGGCTTATGAATACGAAGAAGAACAACTGCTAATTACACCATGACCTATTTCAGTACGGAAGTACCGAGCCAACGGAATACACAACAGGAATGTGAGACGAGGGATGGGAGGAGACGGGACCTGATTGCAAAGAGGCAGGACGTCGTTGAGGAGGATTCGGCCAGTGAGTCCAGTGATTCCGGTGAGTGTGAGAGCGAGAATGATTGTGTGAGTAAGAGTGGGTGCGAGCGTGTGTTTTCTAGTAGGAAGTCATCAGTGTATAAGCATCTTGCATCTCGTCCTGATTGCTGCAAGGTTTATTCTGATTCTTCTTTTTCTGTGTTGTGCCGTGCTCGTCATGGTTATAAGTTGCAGTTGAGTGTGTTAGAAGCTGTTTGTCAACGTATTCATAAGCCTAATCTGTGTGTCCAGAAGTACGATTTTTTGTTCATCATTTTCTCCATATCACATTTTTTCTTTCCTCCATGTTCTTCACTGCCTTCGTATCCACTCGTTTTTTTAATACAATAAAAGCCTTTGTGAAATGTCGGTTCAGCTCGTTCTGTTGATCGCAATTTTAAAACTATTGTCGCCTCGACGCCTATTTAAATAATAATAATAATAATACGAAGTAGTGGTTGCAACTTTGGCGATGATTTGTAAGAAAGGGTTTGCTCCCCACACCGGAGCTCGCGCTATTCCGCGGACTTTACTTGACACTTGACTGACTAACGACTGCCATCCAGAGCACACTAGAAGTCCATCGAACCTTTGACTCAGCAAACCTGCAAGAAAGTACCACTCCCTGCTCAATACACAGTGTTTCGGGGAATTCACCCCTCATCAGTTGAGCTTGAGTAGGCTGAGGAAGATTGTGCCTGAAGAGCACCACTTATAATGCTCTCCAGGCACAAACATCACCAGGTGTACAGAACTATCACATGTCACATGTTGCACGTTGACACTATTAGTGTATTGTAGTTACGAATTGTGTACAGAACTGTCACATGCTGCAAGGGCAGTATTGTCAAGACATGCTAGGTCGCTTGCAATATTGGTGCGGTGCGTATTACTGCTATGCATTTCGCGAGTGTAATATATATTTGTTAGTCTGTTAGATCTGTTACATCACGAGTGCATATCTGTTACGTCTACGTCGAGACACATTAATTTTTACGATACAGTAATTGCTATGCGTGTTCGTACCACGACATGTTCACGAGCGGAATATCTTGTGAATCGTGCTAATTTATTATAAGCAGAATTGTTGACACACTAATTTGGTTGCAATGTACATGTACTTACTAGTACTTGATCCGTTGCATTATCGCCATCCGCGGCAACTCCGCTACGATCTACTTGGCGAAACTTACTCTCGCTGACAGGGTGTGCTGTCACCCTGTCGCTGGGTGCAAGCACCCCTTGACAGACACTGTTTTCACCTCCGTAATAACAATTCTTTAGTCTTCCACTTCAGCAGATTGCTAGTTTCTGTTTTGTTCTGCATTCAAATTATTATTGCTTTTCTTTTTTGTTGCACCTGCACTCCGCGCTGCACGTGCACGCGGACTTTGGCAGTCGCCATAATTAGTATCTCTATGGCTACGATGATTCATGCATTTTCTGTACGCTGCATTTTCTCTCTATGCCACGTCGTTGTGTACATGCATGCGGCGTAAGCCAATGCACGCACGCGAGCACGTTTCGCTGAGGACAGCGATTTGAGAGAGAGAGTTTGTCAAGTTTGAGAGAATGGTGGTTAGCTTCTTGCCCAGATTAGTGACAGTTGTGGTTGTTGTTTGCCTTTGCGTTTTCCTGGTTTCATTCTCTGCATTTTTAGTTGTGTTCCATGTCTGCATGTTGTTTTCCGAGTGTCAGTTCACTACACCAGAGTTCGAACAATTAGAATTTAATACAGTCTTCACCGAAAGGGAAAGAGTCCTAAACAACTGGTCCTTCGAGCCGGATCTCGGACTGAGCTTGTTCTGTAGAGTGTAGTAGTATGTAGACATTGTAGTAAAGTTATAGTGCTGTGGAACGTAAAGTTAGCATCATGTCCTCGGCGTTAGCTCCGCGTACGAGCCAACGCACAACCAAGGGTGTGCCACCATTGAGATATGGACACGAGGAGCCCGAACTCGCCGTGGCTGCGGATAAAAGGAGCTCGGTGTCCGCTGTCCCGTCCAGGGCCAGTAGCGGTTCCCAGCTCAAGGTCGAACTGAAAGCTACAGAGCTGGAAGCGGCGGAGGAGCTCGCCACCATGGAGTTAGATGTAAAGAAAAGGGAGATTGAACTCCGCAAGGACATTTGGGCCAAAAAGTTGGCGTTAGAGGAAGCAATAAAAACGGAGCAGCTGTCCCAGAGGAGTTCCCCGAGGCGGCGAGGGCATGGCTTGACTGCGGAGGCACTTGCCAAGTTTGACGATGCCTTGCAAAGATGTGGCAATACTCGTGTCGTCCCGGCCGCAAAGTGCGTATCATTGAGTTGTGTGGACCAGGGTCGCGTTGTCAAGCCAGCAGTGCAAGCTGGTGCCGAAACCCGGGGATATGATAGCCTGACTGAACATACAGCAGCAGTGGATGGCGCGCGGAACATGGACTGGAGAATGTTAGCCGCAAGGCAGTCAGCTGGCACGTCTGAGGCCTCCGACGATTCCGCAGTGTCATTCAGTCAGGCTCAGCAGCCAAGGCCAATCTGGCACTCAGCTGTGCGGCATCCAGGAGCTGCAGTGCAGCACACAATGGCAGTGCAGCACGGAAAGCGAGCCGTGCACCATCACCACGCTTCAGTGCACCAACCAGTAGCAGCTGCCTCGTACCTAGTGCGGCAGCAGCCAGTGCTCAATCAGCTACCTGTAACCGTTGCGGGTGCTCTGAGCATGCCTCAGCCGCAGCCGCCACCACAACAGTCACAACCGCAGCAGACGTACAGACCACAGCCTCGTCGAATCGTCGAACATCAGACGCTCCCACCCGACATGGCCCGCGTGCAGAAATGGGCAGACGGCATACCAGACGGTTGGCGCCAGGGCATCCGCCAGGCACAAATAAAACCGTTGGAGCTGCCAAAGTTTAATGGGGAAGAGAGCAGCTACATGAAGTGGCAGCAGCGTTTTTTGCGTCTGGTGGACGAGGACCCATATGTGTCCGACCACTACAAGATGGCTCGTCTTCGCGAAGCAGTGGCCGGTGGAGCAGCAGAAGATCTGATAGCGGACTTGCTGGACGGCGAGGGTGCGTACCAGTCCGCAATGGCTGAGCTGGATGCGTGGTATGGTGGCAGCCAGCGCGAGCTCGAGCGCCAGCAGAAAGAGCTGTATGCACTGCCACGCATTCAGCACGACAAAGACACCACCGCTCTGCAGACGCTCGCCATCAAGCTCCGCAACGTGCTGCTAAACATGCAGGCAGGCCACATCATGCCGGGAAGAGAGATGTACGTAACGGTAACACAGAAACTGCCCCGCAACCTTCTGCTGCGCTACATTGAGCGTTATGACGACGCCACTGGTAACGTGGATGACCTGTCCAGATGGCTGCTGGATAGAGTGCATCGCATGCGCCAGGTCGATGCTCGCATTGGGGACGTCTTGACGGTCAAAAAGCCGGAGAAAGCGGCTACAGGGCGTACGCAAGGCCACCACACCATGGCCACCGTTCCAGCAGCTAGCAGCAGAACAACGTCGGCCTCGGCACCAGAGCCACGAACAACGGTGTGCCCGGTGTGCCAGGGGCATCATGCCCTTGCTGTATGTGCTGAGCTGCGCAAGATGTCGGTGCGCGAGAGGTGGGGAGCGGTCAAGCCCTTGTACAGCGTTTGTACGAATTGCCTACAGACAGGGCATCGTTCAAATGACTGCTCTGCTAAGCCATGTGATGCGTGTGGACGAAAACATAACAGTTTGTTACATGTTTGGAAATCGGACAAGCCACACATTAATATCTCTACTACTGACGCCAAGGCCAGACACACAGCGGTCAGCAGTTCGACACAGGCAGCCAGGCAGCACACAGCATCGCCAACAGCCAGCGTGCCGTCAGCAGGTGCGGCACTGCACATCCTGCAAGAGCCAGCTGCGACTCTACGCGCGTCCGGTGGAATGGCGTTCATGACCGTGTCTGCCACACTAGTCAACAAGGACCGCCAGATGCAGGTGACCGCCCTGCTCGACTCAGCGTCATCAACGAGTTACGTCACCGAGTCTGTGGCCCAGGAGCTTGGACTTACGGGTCCTCAAGAGTCATTGCAGACCACAGTACTCGGAGGGAAGACAGTTAGTGGTACCCGATCGCACATCAATGTCGGTGTCCAGACTCAAGACGGCAGACTGGCCCAGTTTAGTGCGTGGGTGCTGCCAGCTGTAACGCCAATGAGTACGGTGGACTGGGCCCAGAACAGCGGCACGTGGGCAGGAAACATCGAATTCCAGCCGTTGCCGTCTCCCACAGTGGGCATTCTGATCGGTCTGAATGCAGCAGAGCTGCACACGTCACTGGAGGAGCGCAGCGGCCACTCAGAGAGCGGACTGATTGCCCGGCGCACACCACTCGGTTGGGTGTGTTTCGGCCCCTTGGGGAACAACAGTACTCCACTGCAACATACCTGCATCGCCCTGTGCACTGAGGCTGGCGTACAAGAAGAAAGTAAGCTCGATGAGATCGTTCACAAGTTCTGGGAGACAGAAAAGGTGGGCACGGAAGCGGCAGCATCCAATGTCGAGACGCCATCGCCAGCTGATCGCCAGGCCGAGTTACACACCAACGACACTGTGCGGTATGAAGACGGGCGCTACACGATGTCCATTCCATGGGCGAGCAGCCAGTCACAGCCTCAGCTGACCTCCAACCGCATCATGGCCGAGCAGCGGTTGAGGTCCTTGGAGAAAGCACTGGACAAGCGACCAGCAGTGAAGAAGCAGTATCACGAGGTCATGAACAGTCATATTGAGAAAGGCTACGTCAGCATGGTACCTACTGAGCAAGCTGACGGAGAGGACCAATGGTATCTGCCGCACTTTCCGGTGGTACGCGACGATAAGAGTACCACGAAAGTCAGAATTGTCTTTGACGCAGCGGCAGAGTGCAACGGTGTCTCGATTAACGACGAGATGTTGACCGGTCCAGCGCTGCAAAACGACGTATCCTCTGTGCTGCTGCGCTTTTGTATGGAGCCAGTTGCTCTGGTAGCGGACATCGCTGAAATGTTCCCACAAGTCGTTCTCGCAGAAAGTGACAGGAAATACCATCGTTTCCTGTGGAGGGTGGATGGAGAAGTCTGTGTGTTTGAGTGGAACCGGCTAGTGTTCGGCATAAAGGCATCCCCCTACCTGGCAGGCAAGGCGGTCAAGAAGACCCTGGAACACGTTGGTGATGGGTACTCTGCAGCAGCGGTGGAAGCCATCGACAAGTCCACGTATGTGGACGACCTGCTGAGCTCGGCTGCATCCGACGAAGCTGCGTGCAACACCCAGCAGCAAACGCAGTGTCTCCTAGCGCAGGGTGGGTTCCACTTGCGGAAGTGGTTATCGAACAGTGCAGCCGTCATGGAGTCCATCCCAGAGGCCGACCGTGCCAAGGAAGCGGTGTTAAACTTGGGTGAGCGAGATGCTCACAGCTGCCTACCAACAGTGAAGACACTCGGCGTCAGCTGGCATTCACAGTCCGACACGTTCACCTTCCGCTACCAGCAGACCAAGCAGAGCCCAACGAAGCGTTCAGTGCTGAGCGGGCTGTCGACTGTGTTCGACCCGAGAGGCCAGATCGCGCCATTCACTATCCGGGCACGCATCCTTTTCCAGGACTTGTGTCTACTTGGTGTTGGCTGGGATGAGCGACTCCCTAGCGCAGAGACGAAGAAATGGCAAGCCTGGTTCGGTGAGCTGCCAGGTCTCTCAGGAGTTCAGGCTCCACGCAGCTTCAAGGCACCAGGTGCACCAGAGAGCCAGCTGTCGGTTCACACCTTTGTTGACGCATCTGATCGAGCTATTGCCGCGTCAGCATACGTGCGTGCAGTGGACACTACCGGCAACGTCAGAGTAACTCTGGCAATGGCCAAGGCAAAGCCAGCTCCAATCCGTCGACAGAGCATCCCTCAACTTGAGCTACGTGGTGCGGTAGCAGGGAGTGGTGCTTTCTTGCAGGTTTGCCGAGTCGAAGGTTCGATGGACTTCTCGTGTGCTCTGGAAGGCAGTCGTGAGTCAGTCAAGTGTCAAGTAAAGTCGGCGGAATAGCGCGAGCTCCGGTGTGGGGAGCAAACCCTTTCTTACAAATCATCGCCGAAGTCGCAACCACTACTTCGAAATGTAATCTTGTTACCCTTTTTCCGTTTCCTCTAGCGGTACATAGTTATAATAATAGCTCTATTAATCGTCAATAATCGATGCATTTTCTGAAAGAGATTTCGAATTTTTGGAGATGCTTGCTTCATGCAAAACCATAAGAGACCGCTGTGGTCTTAAAGGGGCACTCCGGGCATTTTTTTCGGTGGTGTGTTCTCTTCATGGGGGCCTTATATGGCCCCCAAGGAACGGGGAATCGCGAAAACTAGACCCAAAAAGTCGATACTACAATTTCCTGGCCCTCATTATTATTATTATTATTTTATTTATTTTACTAGGGTCATCAGGCCGCGCTTCTACCAGGGGCACCTCAGGACGTCCTTCAGGTTTCTTAGAGTATGGTCCAAGTTATGAAGCTTGGGAATGTTGACCAAACATCGTTCTTGATCACCAGAAACTTCAAACCACTAAGATCTTCAAATGCAGAGAATTTGAATACTAACCACACGTGACGTCATAAAAACAATCAAAAGAGGAGACAAACGTGGCCCTCCCTGGCTTCATAATACATGTATCGACTTTTTGGGTCTAGTTTTCGCGATTCCCCATTCCTTAGGGGCCATACAAGGCCCCCATGAAGAGAAAACACCACCGAAAAAATTCCCGGAGTGCCCCTTTAATTAAGGCTAATAAGGGCCAGATCGTCGAGAGTATTCGGACCCAGTCTACCTCATTGTACGCACAGGTACGTCACGGTCAGGAAGAGAGGCTAGAGTCCTAGCCAAGCAGAGCTAGATCTATGGAGCCGGCTTTGTACCCACGGTATGCCATGCGCGGCCAGACTGTCTACGCCAAATCGGGACTTTCCGCACCCGCAGTGGTGCCGCCAGAGAGGTTACTGTATACTGTACTGTAACTACGGATGCCGCCGCACCGCCAGCCTCCTTCTTTGGCGACAATAACATCAAGAGGCGGTACGCCGTCCCAACAGTGACCCAGTTCCGTTGCGCTATTAGCAGATTTGGGACGAAAAGGGGAGGTTCGTTGTAGCCTTAAAACAAATAAGGAAGGTAGGCTTGGGCCATGACTCATTCTGCCTCGTCAAAGTAAAGAAGAACACAGTGAGCTGCTTGAAATAAGAAACTCTACTTCAGGTTTACCAAATCCAGTAGGGCTTGTAAATACCCAGGGAGCAATAATTGTCCAACCACTGTAGTTCAGTAATATTTTTAATAGTAGCCATTGCTGTCGCAGAATACGTATATTGGAGGAGAGGAAGAAGGTGTTGCCGAGCCATATCTGCAGGTGAGTGAGACATTAGGAAGTCCGTCGTTAGACGCACATCCTGTTAAACTTCCCTGTGAGGTCCTTCTCCTAACGCTTTCAACTCGTTCATGCACGTATATTGGCTTCACACACACACACACACACACACACACACACACGCACGCCGATGGACATTTTCGTCGGCGTAAGATGAAAGTTGCTTGTTCTCCACATACGGAATTATTGGGTGGGGGAAACTCGTTCAGGCACCACGGCTGTGGTTGTGAACATCCGCTCTTATTCTGAACGGAAGGTCGGCTGGACACGCTGCCTTGGTTGGTTGGTTGTGTATATTTGAATTCGCAAATCGAACGGACTGAACATGTCCAATGACAAGGAAAGCGAATGAGGTCCAAGTAATCCAGGAATGGGAAACTCGCCCAGGCGACACAGATGAAAAGAAAATATGGGAACAGAAAGCTCTCAGCAAAGGAAGAAGAGAGAAAGAAAGAAAGGAAAAAGAAATAAAGGAGAAGAAGAAGAAAAAAGAAAAGAAAAATCGGGGTCACGGCGAGAAGAAAGCTCTTAGCAAAAAGAGAAAAGAAAGGATGAAGGAGAAAATGGGGAGACAAATCGTGGTCACGTGGCCAAAGCCGGAGCAGTGGCATGACACAGTAGAAACGTACATGTGCTTACATATCACAACAACAACAGGAACAAACACGCATGAAGCATGGGCCATGCCGGCCCAGAAGCGGGAGACACCGACAGGAAGAGAGAAATTGAAGCCTTGCACACCCGAACCCCCCCCCCCCCCCCAACACACACACACACACACACTCAAACACGCACACCTGCACACACACCCACACACACACGCAAACACGGACACATACCCCCCCCCCCCCCCACACACACACACCTCAGACATCAGACCTGCCCATCGCGGAAGCGATGATAGCGAACAGCTATGTAAGGCATAGAAACTTGTGCTGGGATTACACCATTCAACAGCTTGCAACACACACACACACACACACACATACACACACACACACACACCTGTTCCTGTTCCTGTTCAGCACTGCCACAAGGGCCACGTGGCTCTCCTTAAGAGAGAACCGGGGAGGAGGGAGGTCGCTGGCATCTGTGTCGGGTGAGGTCGCTCCCGCGGCGAAAACGGCGGCCACAGTCGGGGCAGGACCATTCAAATGTCAATCGTGTTGCTGCAGTCGGGCGATGCGTATTACGGTGGCATTTGTGTCGTGATCTGTCAGACGGTCTGGCGAAACAGCGGTCACATGTGGGGCAGTGAGCTGCGCAACAGTCCCTTGCAATAGCTTGGGGATGGTCTCCACGGGGCTGAGGATCATGGGGTGTGCATTTATGCCGCGATAGCCCACCACGGCTGCGTAGCCACCGTTGACATTGGGGACATTGCACTGCACCGCGCTGCTCTGCTATGGGCTTGGCCCTTTCATCCAAGCACTTGTGACGGCGCTTGTCCGAAGGCCTGCTAAATACGCGTCGGCAGACAAGACACTGCACATTACGCACTGGTGACGAAGCTGGTTCCAGCTCACGGTAGATGTTCCTCCACCCTGGTCGTGACTGGGTATCTTCTGGCCAAGAGTCCTGTACGTCACATCGCTGTAGATCCGGACTCAGAGCGTCTCGCCAGCGCTTTCGTGGGCCGCATGCAGGTCGGGTCTCCGGTCGGCAGCCGAACAGAACAACCCGGGGTGTCCGTTCCATATCCATGCGCATAACGTGGCCAAACCATTCCAAACGGCGTTGCACAATCCGGTCCTTGATGGGCAGGGGTCTGGCATCATTCCACTGCTCCAGGATGGTGGTGTTGCTGATGTGGAAGTCCCAGACGTCAGAGCGTGACACACCCATGATGGTGCGGAGGCATCTCATGTAAAAAGATGACAGCTTGGCAATATCGGCTTGGAGTGGTACCCAGCACTCAGACGCATACAGCAGCAAGCTCAGCACACACGCCTCAAACACTGTTCGCTTGGTGGCCAGCGTTAGATTGTTATCCCGAAACACTGGGCGACTCAGAACGCCAAAGGCACGTGATGCAGCAGCTATCCTGGACTCGATATCCCGGGAGCAGCGGCCATCAGCGTGGATATTAGTTCCGAGGTAGCGAAACTCAGAGACCACCTCCACCGCATGGCCATTCAACATCAGCGGGCGCACATCCTCTTCAGTAACATGATGACCGGTGACCATGAGCTTGGTTTTCTCTAGGTTAACTTTGAGACCGAATGCACCTGCCACCTCAACAAATGCCGTTAGGCAAGTCTCTATTGCCTCCCGACGCGTGGCCATCAGGGCAGAGTCATCTGCAAATTGGCAGTCAAGGATGGAACGTCTAGTGTCTGTGCGGTGTCGTCGGAAGAACAGACGTTGCCTTGCATTAGTATGAATCGGAACACCAGCTCCGGGGATATCTGCGACGCGGGCATACCACCGTTGGAAGACTGCCCACATGAAGATGTTAAATAATGTGGGAGCCATGGAGCAACCTTGACGGAGGCCATTCCTCACAGCAAATGGATCGAGTCTATCACCATCAACGCAAATTGTAGCCTGCATAGAGGTGTGGAAGGACTGAACAATGGATAGGAGACGGGGAGGAACACCAGCTTTCTCCAGTACGCGCCACAGGCAATCCCGACTGACAGAGTCATAGGCCTTGCGGAGGTCGATGAACAGGAGGAAAGCTTTCCCTCGATGTTCAAATGCCTTCTCCACCATCTGGCGGACCACAAATATCATATCCGTACAGGATCGCCCTCGTCGAAAACCACACACACACACACACACACACACACACACCTTGGTCCTTGGTAACACTGCCATCAAATGGTCACGTGTCCCCTGTGCAGGGGTCGACAGCACTGAGTTCAGCATTGGACCCAGAAACGCCGCTCTACTTCCTGGACAGGAAATTAGCACAGCTATGCAGGTCGAAACCACGGGATGACTTGCAGCAGCGACCGCAGCCGAGACAATGCGCTCTGCAGCAGGGCAGGGCAACCCGCTGTTTCCGGACCGAGTCTGCCGATGCCACAGCCGAGACCGACGCCACTTCAGCAGCCGAGTTGGAGAGACACTTATGCGAAGCTAGCCCGCCAGCACTCAAGAACCATCTCCCGCACGCATTACATAGTCGGCTGCCGGACTGCTCAGATATGGGCTTCCTCCTCTCGGCCAGGCACTTGTGGCGATTCTTGTATTTCTGGTGGGCGAAAGTACGCTGGCAAACATCGCAGAGCACAGAAGTGTCACGCTGAGCCGATCGCGGTACTGGTTGAGCGGAATACGCACTGCGCCATCTCCCACGCTCCTGGGCGAGGTCGTACCATTCCGTGTGGTCGATGTTCACTGCGGAGAGGTCAGCTCTGACAGAGTCTCGCCACCGTTTCCGAGGACCGCAAGCCGGCCTCGGCGGAAGGAGCGCACCAAACAGGAGCTGGCGCGGAGTTCTACCGCCGTCCATCCTAGCTAGATGGCCTAGCCACTCCAGACGGCGGCGAAGAACACGTGTGGTAATATCCACTGGATCTCGACGATTCCAGGCCTCCAGAATGGTCTTCCTGTTGATGTGGAAGTCCCAGGTGTCTCTTCTACCGAGGGCTAAGATTGCGCACACACACACACACACACACACACACACACATGCACACACACACACACACACACACACACACACACACACACACACACACACACACACACACACACACACACACACACACACACACACACACACACACACACACACACACACACACACACACACACACACACACATACATGTACATACACACCTACCCACACCTGCACACACACCTAGACACAAGCCCAGCCTTCGGGCAGAAGTCGCTGAATAAAAACAAGCTGTACATGCAGCATCTGTCCAAAAGGAATGGTCGCAGCTCTTCCTCCGTTCACGATATTGGTGAGGAGTGAAATGTAACAAGCAGCGGCGGATCCATCGATCTCCACAGAGGGTTGCAGTGTATTCAAAAACAGAATAGCTGATACATGTACTGGTACATGGACACACATATGGTTGCGAATAGAACATTTACGAAATTGAGGGGGTTCCTCGGAAGCCCCGGAACCCCTCCTGGATCCGCCCTTGACAAGCTAAACTCCTCTCCACTTGGTTGATTTTGCACATGTTAAATTTCAGTTAGTGTGTAGTTAATACGAAGAACAGACCGCCAAAAAAGCTACAAGTTACACTATACTGTCCACTAACACCAGCAGTTACTTTACAATCAGCTCATGCGATAACATTGCACGACACTGAACAGCGATGCTGACGTCCTACACCTAACGGTCAAGTTGGTCCTCTCATCTTCTTGGGCTTTCTGCAAAGCTCGTCGAAAGAGGAACACATTGACGCCACACTTGCCACCACGAAGATCAAAAACCAGCGTCTTAGCTGCAACGCCAATATTCCGACAGAGGTTGTCTTGTATCAGCCAATTCGCCCTCCTTGCTCATAACAACTAATTTTTACTTCAAAATATCACAAACTGCCACGAGTCCGCTTGCCATTTTGAACTTGTTTCTACGTCACTGCACGCACAGAATGATGGGGAAATCCCTCATTCAAATCTGAACACACGGCTATTGAGCGACATTTGCACGGATTCGACTTCCGAGCTTCGTAACTCTGGAGCTGCAAATCGGAGCGCTCCAGCAATGGATGGCTGAGAGTTTTCTCTTCGATCTACATTTTTTCATTTTTGGAAATGCCCCATAAATGGCTGAGTTACAGTTGATTGAAATTCTGAAAGGTTTCGATCCCAGGCGACCAACAGATGTACAGCCCGTAAACAAAGGGTTGATACCCCGCTCTGGACCCAATCTTCATGCGTAGCAACAAGAAGGCATAGCAACACTGGTTATGTACCTTTGGAAACGTTGACCGTAGTTAACATTCCCACTGCACCCACAGACATTCAAGACAGGCCTTGTACTAGAATATAAGTCATGCTGGGAAAAGAGATCACAGTGCGTTTTAATGCTACGGATCTCACAAATGTAAGAGAAAGTCTTCTGTTTATTTATACAAACGAAAAAGGACCAAGAAACTACATACATACATATATTATAAAGTATCTGGTGGTGTTAGTGGATATAATACCGGTAGCGTAACTTGTAGCTCTTTTGGCGGTCTGTTCTTCTTATACACCAAATTATGTCAGATGGAGAGCCAAGGATTAAGTTGAAGAAAAGAAAAAGGACCAAGGAACTATACGTTTTGCTAAACTGTCGTTGTTGTGAATGGCGTCGTCGTGGGAAAGGTCTTCAGTGAATGTGTGTCAGATCTCGTCATGACTGTAACTCCTACTTGATTCCCTGGCTAGGTGCTTCTATGCTAGGCTATGCTATGCTTGATTTGTTTGAATTCTTTCTTGAGCTTTGAATTTATTGATTTGTATTTGACCTGTCTTACCTGTGTCTACGTAACTTGCTGTGCAGTATCCTTGATCGCTGTGTTAGATAAGTGCCCAGATGTCGTAACATCCATGCTGGATTAGTCAGTAGACTGCTCTGCGGCACTGTTTGACGACGTAGTTACGTTCCTTTATTTCGCTTCGCACTCGTAGTTTGATTTTCTTGAGTGCACGCACGGCGTATTTTTTGTGTTTAGTTTTAGTGACGTCGTGAGGTACTAATTTGGCTACTCGGACTGTACGAACTGTACTCGGGCGCGCGCGATCGAGTATCGATCTGGCTACATGTTGGCGCTAGTGCTTTTGACAGTTGTTTTCATTTTGGCGCTAGTGCTTTTGACGGTTTGTCTTACCTGGTTTCTAGGCAGTGCTTCTTCTCTCTCGCTTCAACACAGTCATGTAATTTCTTTCGTTTCCTTTTCTATCTTGCATCCTCTGTAATTGTTCGTGCCATGTAAATAAATACTGGTCGGTCTCAGTTCTTGGAACCTTTGAGTGTATGGTACACAACAGTCCTCAAACACCACCAGTTACTAAATAATCAGCTCATGCGATAACATTGCAGGACACTGATCGACGGTACTGACGTTCTACAACTAACTGGCTAACAGCTCTAGCACATCTTGGATGCGCACTAGAACACCGTTCCAACTTTGAAGGTTCTAAGTTATGAAAATAACATAAGGAGGTCATCAACTTGCTTGAACATTCGCCAACCTCCTTCACAGCTGAGACTTTCAGCTCGTGCTTATCTTGGTTGTGCTCACCTTCCCCTCCTTATGTTGTTTCTCTCTCTCTCTCTTTCTCTCTCTCTCTCACTCTCTCTGTCTCTGTCTCTATCTGCCTTTCTCTGTCTCTGTTTCTCTGTCTATCTGTCTCTCTGTCTCTCTGTCTCTCTGTCCCTCTGTCTCTCTGTCTGTCTCTCCGTCTGTGTCGCTGTCTCTCTGTCTGTGTCTGTGTCTGTGTATGTGTCTGTGTCTCTGTTTCTGTCTCTGTCTTCTCTCTCTCTCTGTTTCTCTTTGCCTCTCTCTCTCTCTCACTCTCTCTCTGTCTCTCTCTCTCTCTCTCTCTCTCTCACTCTCTCTCTCTCACTCTCTATCTCTCTCTCTCTCTATCTCTCTCTCTATCTCTCTCTCTCTCTCTCTCTCTCTCTCTCTCTCTCTCTCTCTCTGTGTGTGTGTGTCTCTCTGTCTCTCTGTCTCTCTCTGTCTCTCTCTGTCTCTCTCTGTCTCTCTCTCACTCTCTCTCGCTCTCGCTCTCGCTCTTTCTCTCTCTCGCTCTCTCTCTCTCACTCTCTCTATCTCTCTCTCTCTCTGTCTCTCTCTCTCTCTCTCTCTCTCTCTCTATCTCTATCTCTCTCTCTCTCTCCATGACTTGGGTTGATAAACAGTTTAAAGTTGAATGTACATGTGTGAATTGCGTGTTGTTGTTTGTGATTTGCAGATTTTCTAGCAATATGGCTCAACGGCATGGATTTCCGGCAGTCATTTTCCTGCTGCTCTCTGCCTGTATTCGTGAGTGCATCTTCTCTGTGATACCCCTGTATTCGTGCCGTTATGCTAGGTGCCTTAAAGACACCCTGGCCCTGGCACGGTGTGTTCGTATGTGTGTGTGTGTGTGTGTGTGTGTGTGTGTGTGTGTGTGTGTGTCTGTGTGTGCATGCGTGCGTGCGTGTGTGTGTGTGTGTATGTGTGCGTGTGTGTGTCTGTGTGTGCGCGCATGTAGGGAATTGGGTGTCGGTCTCTACCTGGAGACTTGGATCTCACTTGAATGACGCACGACTGCCATTCAGAGCACACGAGCAGTCCATCGAACCTTCCACTCCGCAAACCAGCATGAAATTCTATAGTGTGATTTCACAAATTTTCGGTGTACTTATATGTTCGGTACTTTCGGTGCATCTGTTTCACACCTTAAATTTCAATACGCCAAACAAACACTAACACACATAGTCCAATAGGGAACTGCTTCTCTGTACCTAAATTTCCTGTTCACCTAACCTGGCCTTTTGCCTTCATACCGAAAATACCGAGTACCGAAAATTTCTGAAATTAGAGCATAATCTTTTAGCATATTTTCCCACCGTTGTAAGAATGCTAATAGCGAGAAGGAGATAAAGGGCGTGTCCAAAAACACTAGCTGTTGAGCAGATGTTGAGATTCTTTTCGAAGATCATCCATTCAGCAGGCCCGATCGGTTGGGCGTTGGCGCGTCTGGTGACATTACTGTTGAATTCCTCTCCTTAAATTTGAGGCGATTCGTATGGTCATAGCTTACTGGTTTTAAAGGTATTATTCCGCT